TCATGACCCCCATGACCCCCCCTGGATCCGCCCTTGATTCGTTAATTAATCCCTTAAGATTTTGTTGATGGGTTTTCCCATTTGCCCGAAAGCCAGAGTTTCGATTTCCTTGGTCTTTTCGATATCCGTTGTCTTGTTGGGAAAAAATATAGTGCAATTTTCCCGTACATTTGAAGGAGGCAAGAAAACATGATAAATGGTCGGAACAACGACATTCCCGAAATGTGTGCAAATTAACGCAAATAAGTTAATGGAAATGGAGTATAGCAAGTAATTTGCAAAAACAGTATATTAGCTTAATTAAAAACGCAATGACTCAAAATATTTTGAAACATGGAAGGAATGAGTCGACAAACTCAAATAGACCAAAACTAACGAAAAAAACTAAAGAACATTTCTGAGTGAGTTCTTTCGAACGAAAGCTGTTAGTTCTCAGTCCAAACTTGCTGAAATAAATGGTTATTCTGCTTCTGGTACGATTCCACACGGACATTTGTGCCAGTTGGTTGAAACAACATCCAAGCGCCCTTCAAGACAAGAAACAGACCCTCCGAAGCCAAAACACTGACTTGCGTAACATTCGTAATACGCTCCAAAGGCTGGAAGATAAAAACTGATCCTCGTGCCGCAGGCTAATAAAGTAAGGGTCACTTAATCTGTCTGTCCAAACGTTTAACGAAATAATATTGGATTTCTCAGGATACATTAAACTGGGTTAATGGTGGTGTTTTTTTGCGGATGTGGACCAGTTTGGTTCGTTAGTTTCGGCTCTCCAGATCGATCAATCGCTTCCTTTGCCTATATCATTGTGGAATTTCCACAGAGCCAATAGGGAGTTTTGCAATTTAACTCACAGGGACCACCAACGCATCCAGGAAGTCCACAAGGGGAAGCGTAAGAATGGCTCAATTAACCTGTCTGTCCCCAATTTGACAAATAACATCAGGGATACTCTTATCCAGCAGAATCTGGACTAATGGAATGTTTTTTTGCCGGTATCCGACGACACTTGAGGCTTGAGGGTCACTGAATCGATCAAGCTATTTTTGCGTATATTTTGTTAGCGTCTTTATCGGGGATTGTGCCGGAAATGTCAAGGGATTTTCTCATATATATTGGAAATTCTCTCTATGATCGAAATGCGTGTTTTGAGTCAATTGATTTCAGAAAATCGCTTTTCCATTGGATCCATTAGGCTCATTAAATGCCCCGCTAATTTAGCACTTTTATGTCGGTTTGAAACCAAATTTTTCGATTAATTTCCTGTTGCTGGGCTGTTTTGTCCACTGTTTCGGGTGGAAAGTGGAACAATTCCGGTAAAAGAAAAATAATTTCCTTCTCATTCAGGACATGTGACTCCCATTCCATCGGCAATGATTGACAGGGCAATTTGCCCTCGGTTTGCCATAACCGACCCAATCTGCATAGTAATTTAAAAAGTCCGAATAGCCCAAAAAAAAGTCGTGCCTTTCATATTGCATGTTCCGGACAGCTTCTTTTGTCAACGATTGTTTTTTTTTTGTTATTCAAATGCACCATATCGGCTGTTATTAGAAACGCATTAGAGGGCATGGTTTCAATTATCATGCCACCAAGAGTCGGGAACTTTTTTTGGAAGGTGATGAGTTTTGACTGAGTACGCGAAATTTTGTGCAATTTTGTGTGTTCTGAAAATGGGGAAACGTTTCCTTGCTTGTTCTCTGTTTTGGTTCTCCAGTCATGTTCAGCCCGTAGGTTTTTATGCTTCTGCTGGGATTTTTGTCCCATGTTCACTTCCAAACATTTACAAACCCCCACAATTTTTCCCTGTTTGTGGCTGCCTGCACCTTTCAGCAGTTCCTCAGGATTTATGGTCAAATTGAGTCAACTTCCTTTCTAAATAAATTGCAGCAACACTCAGACACTCGGAACTGATATTGTCGCTATAATCGCATCACGTTGCTTTTGTCCGAGTGAGCTCAGATAAATGATTTGCCGCTGCAAAACACTTTACTCGCCAAACCAGAGGTGAAACGACAGGCGCTTAAAAATGACCGTAAATGTGCATCAAATTTAGTGGTTTGTTTTATTGTACATCTGTACACGAACCACCGAATAGCAAATTGCTCTAGACGTTTCGCCAGCACGCACGACTAGCATTTTCAGAGTAGTGTTCCTTGACGCTGAAAAAATCCTTAGAATTGCATAGTGTAAATCCTTCTGAGTGTTTTGATGGAAACGACCAATAATTTTGATTCAAAAAAATGAAATTAAAGACGCATGTGCACGATGCGCTGTAAAAGTTTCAGCAATTTCGGCAGCGCTTCGCAACCGATTTCTCCTGAATCCAGTTTCGCGCGGACTGGGTTTATGGTTGGGATCCTGTCGCGAATCCTGCCGGAAAAGCGCACGCGATCCAGGAAAATTTCCCAAAAACCACTGAAATCCTTTCGAATCCAACCCGATGGCCAGCCCTTACCGATACGAACACTCGGTGTAATAGTTCGAGAAAATAAGGCGATTTTTGTGCATTTTTGCGAGTTATTGCTGCAGTTTGTCACGATGAAACGATGACGAGAAAATCGAAACTTATTCGAATGCATATCAGTTTGGGTGGTTAGCAAAAGTTCTTTGAACGGAAAGGACACAGTGATGGAACATTTTGAGGGGACACGGAAGGAATAAAGGCTCTAAGGTAGCTGGACGATTTTTTAGAAAATTAGTAGAACACAGTGAAGCCTAAGAAGTTTCAATACAAATCGCAGGAAATGCTCCAGTTGTTCGATTTTTTGCTCATCTTGTTGTTTGAGTGCGGCTCAAATCCCAAATTGTTGGCAAAACTGATTTTTTTTGGAAAATCATCAGGTTTTCCGACTTTTTCAGCAGTTGATGTACTTTGACCATCATCACTAGAGAAATGCGATTTTTTTAAATAAATTTTATGTTAACAAATTATTTTTACTCTTTCAATGTAAAATTTCTAAAGAACTTTTTCACTGAAATTTGCAACAACCAGCAGTGCTTTTGTCTCAACTTCCCACAAAAAACGTTCCCATTCAAAGGTATGTTTTGCGTTATTCAAAATCGAAAAACTTTGAAAACTCAACGAAATTAAATACGACTTGAAATGATTTTTTCCATCCCTTGCTTATCCGCTGGGAAGTGAACTTTTCGCGTTTTGCCGGTGAGAATGCGGGGAAACTTTTGCGCAAACTGGATCACAATACTCTTTAGAGAAACTACGGAATCTAATACAATATACTCGCGCTGCTTGGTTAAGTTAATAAAAGCCCCTCGGATGCAATTTCTGCTTCAATACGCTTAAATTCCATATTTCTAAATGTCCATGTCTTTAGCTGGGGAACGTGCAAGGGTTTTCTATTAGATTAAATTAGAAGGTTTCGAAGCTCCCGAATGCCGAGCGGAAACAGTACAAAACACACGTTTCTTCCAAGGAAAATGACGGCAAATTTGGCTAAGTTTTGATTAATTTTACTAAATCGTGGAGCTCCTAGAAAATTTTGTCGGCCTTAAAAATGCCTAGAGACAACAGTAGAATTTGCGGCAATTAATTTTGCATTAAATATAACCGCAATGGTTTTTTGTCACCAAGTCTTTGCACAAGTTTGTAAACTCCACGCAACCGAGCCACCCGAAAAGTTCTGCTGTTTCACCCGCCTAATTTGCATGACGAAGCACGCAAGTTTCCAGTTTATAAATATCGGATGAAATTCCTCCAAAAGTTGAATTTGTTTTTCCCGTGTAATCGCGTTGGCAATTTTCAATTATGAATTATAAAAGCATTTTTGGCACCCTTGGTTATTCAAATTTTTTGACAAAAAAGGGCTTTAATTTAATTTTTTTCCTATTTAATTGATCAGAACCTATTCGAAATTCTGTTCTCCGGTTACCTTGCTCTAATTACATTATCTATTATCCACACAAATACTTTGTTGGGAATATACCGCTTTATGAAAAGGTTCTTGGCGAAACGTATTGTGTTGGTGAAAGGAACTAATTGCCTTAATTGTCCTAATTCGGCCTTGTGCCTTTTAAATTATTAATTAATTGTAGCACGGCCTAATATCGGGGATTATTTTCAAAAAGGACGAAAGCTCGTTTCGGGGAAATGGCCGTAATGGTACGCGATATAAATACTAATTTTCCCCACTTAACATCAAACGAGAGCTTTCTGGCTGTTTGAACTGTATTCTGGGCTGTTTTCTTTGTGTCTGCTGTGACCGAAGCATGGCATATGAAATTACAAAAACACGCAGTTTTCAGCTTAAGGTTTAAAGGAAGAGCTTCGAACGCTCCCCTTTCAAAGGTACTTAAAAGCTTAGGCTTATCGTGTTTGTCGCTGGTAAATAAAATATTTACTCTGCAATTTTGCCGTTAAAGCTCCCCGTTGTGAATGGCTGTTAATCAATCTTATTGCAGTCAAGATCACGGTTGTTTTTGCATCATCGTCAATCTTTTGAAATCTAGCAGATCTAGTGGTTTTTTCTTCGATAACTGCGTAAATTAAGCATCTAAAACCGCTCTCAATGGCCAACTTCAATAAATAAATATAACTGTTCTAGCGCAAAGCTTTCGCATTGTGGTAAGTGACAGCTAATCAATCTAACTAGGCAGCACCCACACAAAGCTCAGCTTCCAAAAAGGGAATTTTCCGGCCTGAAAACAAGACCTCGGCCTTTCCGAGGGAGAGAACGCCTTTTCGGGCGAATTTTACATTAGCGTTTTGCTACGATGAAACGAATTAATTGCCGTAATTGTATTTATTTAACTTCACGTCGGCGAAATTCGCCTCAATTAATCATAGCTCAGGTTTATTCGCGCCATCAACAATGAGTAAATGCCTGAATTATGGGTGTGTTGTGAGGAGGAATTCGGACACATGTTGGCTAGTGGAGAAGAGTGATGTAGAAAAACAGAGGACAGATCTAAGAAACTGATTAATTCTGCAGTTTTGGGCACTTTCTTTCTCGGATTAATCCTGCAGAAAACTGAATTGCAGTTGCTAATAGCGCATTATTCCAGTTTTTTCTCGTCGCTGTTTTCCTGGCGACAGGAATAAACGCAAGGCGGCAGTAATTTGTATTTGTCCTTAATGTTAATTAGGTTAAATTCAAATTAGCCTGTTTTAATTATTTAAAGTAACATTGCATTTCTGTTAATCCTGCAATAAACAATCAACCCTGTTTTGAAATGGCGATATATTCAGACGTAGTTTTGTAGACTGGAACTGTGCTTATGTATGTCAACATTTCTCTCATTTATATAAACTTCCTCATAATATAATATGGCTTAAACATGACAAAAATAAAAGCCCTACGCAAACACACTTTTGCAGACTTTTTAAATCGTTGGCAAGATCGTTTATCGCCCTTCAAATATAAGCGCATCATAAGCAATCATTAAACAGCGATTTTATCGTCATTGTGCAACTCTTAATTTTTTGTCTGGTTTTGCTTTGCTTGTTTAGTTTTGCAAATTCTTTTTGTCGCTTTTAAAATGTGATTTCCACATTTAAAAGTTAAGCTTGCATAAATTTGCTTGGACCAAAAATACGTTGCGCCACTAAGGCGGTAAATGATGCATTGTTGATTTGCAATTTTTACTCAAAATTTATTGTTCATTGTTTAAATATTGTTCTTTTTTTGTCAAATATTTAAGTTTGAACACCAACAAAAGGACGATAAAATCCAGCTGGACTAACCTAGAACCGATTGTTATTTTGCAGCTTTTCCTAATTAATTTCGTCGGTTTTTTATTCCGATTTGCATGTTTAATATGCAATATTAAAGTGCAATTTTCCACACTTACAGTAGCGCATTTTCACTTTTGAGTAATATTATGAGCCAGATTGTTGGATTTTTGTCTTTTTCATGTAAAATTTTTCAAAAATTCGTGTTTTCCGACAGCCGATCGCTTCGCCTTAGTAACTGAACAAATCCTGGAAACTCCCAGAAATTTATTACTAAAGTGCGTTTTTCCACACTTAAAGCAGCGCATGTTGTCTATCAAGTTGAAATAATGAGCCCGATTGTGAGATTTTGTGTTTTTCTCCTAAAATTGTTGACAAATTTCCTACGGCAATCGCCTCGCTTTAGTAACTGAAAAAATACTAGAAACTCCCAGCAATTTCTTATAAAAGTGCGTTTTCCACACTTAGAGCAGCGAATTTTGTCTTTCTCGTGACATTATGAATCGGATTGTGGGAATTTTGGCTTTTTTGGGTCAAATTTAAAAAAAATGCGTGTTTTCCAACGGCCAATCGCCTCGCTTTAATAACTGAAAAATCCTGGGAACTCCCAGAAATTTCCTATTAAAGTGTGTTTTTTCACACTTAAAGTAGCGTATTTTCTCTTTCGTGTGATAGTATGAGCCGGATTGTGGGATTTTTGTCTTTTTCTTGTAAACTTTTCAAAAAATTCCTGTTTTCCAACGGCCAATCGCCTCCGCTTAGTAACGGAAAAAATACTAGAAACTCTCAGAAATTTTCTAATAAAGTTGGTTTTTCCTCACTTAATTCCGCGGACTTTCCCTTTCGAGCTTTATTATGGGCTGGATTGATAAATTTTTGGTTTTTCCTTGACGAATTTTTGAAAAATCCGTGTTGTTCTACGACCAATTGCTTCGATTTAGTATCTGAAAAAAATCCTGGGAACTCCCAGAAATTTCCTATTTAAGTGGGAGTTTCTTCAAGCATTTTATCTCTTTCGAGTGGCAAGCTTGAAAACTTTTCCTGGACATTAAAAAAAATCGTCTACTATACCAACGACCAAACGCTGCCCCTTGGTAACTGAAAATATCCTAGAAACTCGCAGAAATTTCCTATTGAAGTGAGTTTTTCCTCAATTAAAACCGCCGATTTTCTATTTCGAGTGATGTTATGGGCCGCATTCCAGAATTTTTGATTTTTCCTTGACGAATTTTTGAAAAACCCGTATTTACTAAGGTCAGTCCACTCGCCTGAGTAACTGAAAAAATCCTGTAAATTTCCAGAAATTTCCTATAAAAGTGAATTTTAACGTCCAAAATTCACTACGATCGCCGACAAATCACGATCTATTTTCCGCACAGAATATAGTATTTATGTCTATTTTCAAGTTCTTTTAAGCTTCGACATACAACAAATAGCCGAATTAGATTGTTGTTTTGTTACTTTGGCTATAACCGATAGAATCTAGCCTACTAAACTAAAATCGATAAAGGGCTATTATTCGTTATTCGGTCGCTTTTAACAATAAAGACAATTATTTTTGAAAGCTTTAGCCGTTGGAGCTTCACTTTCCCCAAAGTATTAACGAACAATTAGGTATCGGATAATTTCGAAAAATTAGATAAGCGAAATGTTTTGAAAGGCAATTTAACTCGGGCCAAGTAAATCAGCAAAGTTACGACAACAGAAATTCCCCCTTTTTCCCAAACTTCTCGACGAAAGACATTGTTGAGTCCTTACCGAGTCCTTAATCCCTTATATCCCCCTTTTTAAATTTACTATGCAATATTCCGATCTGTTTTCGCTTCGCTACCCACTGAGTGGCAGTTATCGTTTTCTAAAATGTGTATTTTGTGTAATCCTGCCGGTAAATTAGCATTTTGCGCCCGTCCTTAGATTCCGGGTTTAACATGTCAGTTTA